TGGGCAGCCCCGGGCTGGGGAACCGGCCCTGAGCGTTCCCCGCGCTCGGCTCTGCCTTGCCAGGATGTGGTGCTGAGCCCGAAGCCCGAGTGGTGCTGACAACACGGCGCGGGGGCTGGAGGGGAGCGCGGGACCGCAGGGGGGCAACTGGCGTGGCGTGGAGGAAGGAAACGCCAAGGGGCTGACCTCACCCCGGCCTCCCGGTGATTCCCCGGGCTCAGCCCGGCGCGGGCACAGCGTGACGAGGCCCCGTGGGCGTTTGTCGCTTTGCTGCCCAGTTGCCACTGAGGTCATCGGGACAAAGCCTCTGCTCCCCGCTTACCCCCATTGCTCTTATTGCCCCTTTTCCGATAGCAAAAGGGCTCTGGCACATCCGCCTCTTCTTTCCCGCTCTCTTGTGCTTAAACCAGACCCGTGGCAGCAGCGACAACCACCCTGAGCGGGGGTGCTCTGTGCCCACCGGGCAGGTGCTGCCTGCTGGCATCAGGAGGGACTCAGATCCCTTAGTGCTGTTCTTAGGGACTCTAACGCCCCGTTACTGTTCCTCCAGAGAGAAGCAACCTGGCCGGGGTGCGCCACATCCTGCTGGTGCTCTCCGGGAAGGGGGGCGTGGGGAAGAGCACCATCTCCACCGAGCTGGCTCTGTCGCTGCGACACTCCGGGAAGAAGGTGAGCGAGGGCCTCTGGGATGCTGGAGCCTGTCTTCTCCTTCCCAGCCTCCAGCTGGGCTGGGTTTTGCTCGTCCTTTGTGTCACGCGCAGGCAATGTGTAGATCCTCTGGGTGACAGCAGCTGGAGTGTTCTTTTTTTCTGGGCTTGCTTGATCCAGTGCTGGTAACTGCGTTTCACTTCCCCTTCATCCAAGGGAGATTCGTTGTTGGTTTTTTGAAGCCGAGGCACTGAGGAACGACTTTGCTGGTTTGTGGTGCAACACACGCTCCCTTTGTGGGGTGAGGTGGGGGAGCTGAAGGGTGGTGTTACAATGGGGACCAACAGGAGCTGTGTGGGCATGAGGCAGCCTGAATTCCCCGGGCACTTTTTTTAAGGGCTCTGTGGAGCCAATGCCACTTGGGTCCCGAAATAGCATAAAGTTCTCCCCACATTACCTGGAAGTACCCAGGAGATGCCCCTCGGAGGGAAGGAGGCTGGGAGGGCGGTCAAACTTTAAAGCAGTTCTTTAAACCCGTGTTCCAAATCTGGCTGCGGAGCTACAGAGTCGTTTCTGCAAAGTGCCGTGAGCAGCTAGGCTGCCTCCGCCCACCCAGGGAGGGCTCACAGCACCGCCCTCGTGGCTGGGTGCTGCCCTTTCTGAAGGACTCTGCCTCATCATCTACAGGTGGGGATCCTGGACGTGGACCTGTGTGGCCCCAGCATACCCCGCATGTTCAGGGTGCAGGACAACGACGTGCACCAGTGCGACAGCGGCTGGGTCCCCGTCTTTGTGGACCAAGACAAGAGCATCTCGCTCATGTCTATTGGCTTCCTGCTGGAGAAGCCGGATGATGCTGTGGTGTGGAGAGGACCCAAGAAAAATGGTACGGTTGGGTTTTGCTGTTGGTAGCCACCTTCCAGTGTGAGGAACCTCCTGAGAACTCTCCTGGAGGTGGTGTTTTCTCCTGCTGAGGGGGCTAGGCTGGTCTTGGAGCAAGACAAGGCTCCTGTTCTGCGGGAGTGGGTTTGGGATCACTCAGCTGGAGCAAGTGCAGCATGTGTTGTGCTGACAGATAGCCCTGCCATCTCTCCCTGGGCCCTTGTCACCCCAGGGTGCCTCCCGACCCCTGCCCAGCCTGGCCCACGGCTCCCAGGGCACCTGCTGAAACCTGGGTGTTTGTTTTTTTCCTGCCCCTTTTATTTCCGTAGCTTTGATCAAACAATTTGTCACTGATGTGGCCTGGGGGGACCTGGACTTCCTGATCGTGGACACACCACCGGGCACGTCTGATGAGCACATCTCCACAGTGGAGGCCTTGCGGCCCTACAAGCCGCTTGGAGCAATCCTGGTCACAACACCTCAGGTAGGACACCCGACTGGGGCTGAACAGGAATTCCCAGGCAGCCTTCTGCCTCTGGGCATGGTCTGGGGGTGGAATATGCACCCCGGGGTGGGTGTTTGCACAGATCTGTCCGCGGCTGCTTGTTCTTTAAGAGCAATGAAACTATTGAAGGGTTTGGAGAACTTGTCCTATGGGGAGTGGCTGAGGGAGCTGGGACTGGTCAGTCTGGAGAAGAGGAGGCTCAGGGGGGACCTTATCGCTCTCTACAATCACCTGAAAGGAAGTTGTAGGGAGATGGGGGTCGATCTCTTCTCCCACGTTAGGAATGACAGGACGAGAGGGAGTGGCCTCAAGTTACACCAGGGGAAATTTAGGTTGGATATCAGGAAAAACTCCTTTCCAGAGAGGGTTGTGAAGTATTGGAACAGGCTGCTCAGGGAGGTGGTGAAGTCCCCATCCCTGGAGGTGTTTAAAAACCATGTGGATTTGGTGTTGAGGAACATGGTTTAGGGACCCCGACAGTGCAGGGTGAATGCTTGGACTCGATGATCTTGAGGGTCTCTTCCAACCAGACGACTCTATGATGCTACACGTCTGCCTCTCGTTTGATGCATGCCTGCTCCAGACCCACGGTCTGTCTGGACAGACGAACACCTCTAACCTCCCCTGCTCCCCGCTGCAGGCCATGTCTGTGGGAGACGTGAGGCGAGAGCTGACCTTCTGTAAGAAGACAGGCCTACGAGTTCTTGGCATCGTGGAGAACATGAGCGGCTTTGTCTGCCCGCACTGCTCGGTGAGCTTGCTGGGACCGCTGGGCTTCTGCGGTTCTTGTTCATCATGGGGTGTTGCAGGATGTGGTGCCTTGGGTGGAAAACTGGCACGTGCCACGAGGGCAGTGCTGTGAGCCCTCCCTGGGTGGGGGGAGGCAGCATCCAAATTCCAGCTGCTCACGGCACTTTGCAGAAACGACTCTGTAGCTCCGCAGCCAGATTTGGAACACGGGTTTAAAGAACTGCTTTAAAGTTTGACCGCCCTCCCAGCCTCCTTCCCTCCGAGGGGCATCTCCTGGGTACTTCCAGGTAATGTGGGGAGAACTTTATGCTATTTCGGGACCCAAGTGGCATTGGCTCCACAGAGCCCTTAAAAAAAGTGCCCGGGGAATTCAGGCTGCCTCATGCCCACACAGCTCCTGTTGGTCCCCATCGTAACGCCACCCTTCAGCTCCCCCACCTCACCCCACAAAGGGAGCGCGTGTTGCACCACAAACCAGCAAAGTCGTTCCTCAGTGCCTCGGCTTCAAAAAACCACAGTGGATCTCGGATAATTCTCCAATGCTGGCGAGAAGCTGCTGTGTGTCAGCTTTGGAAGAAGCCACTGGCTCTGCTTTCCTGAAGGGAGCCGGGGAAGGGCAGGGGTGAAGGCAGTGCCCTGAGGCTGGAAGGTGGAGGGGACCTGGCGCTGCTCACGTGCAGGCAGCGCCCGCCCGGATGCCAAGTGCTTTGGGGTGTTTGACTCACTGCTTCTGCTCTTCCTCCCTCAGGAGTGCACAAACATCTTTTCCAAAGGGGGAGGCGAGGAGCTGGCCAAGCACGCCGGGGTCCCCTTCCTAGGTGAGCGGCCTTCCGTGGTCAGAGGTGGTGCTGTGGCAGTGCTCGAGCAGAGGGATGTGGTGTCACAGGGGTGGGCAGGCTGGGCTCCAGGTCCTTCTGAGCCCCTGCTGCCCCATCAGAGGTGAAGTGTTGTTCTTGCTTTGCTTCTCTGCCACCTAGTCTGCTCAGAGCGGGCATCTGGCCCCACTGGGGCAGAGGTGGTGATGACCAGCAGCCTGCTCTGGCTGCTGGCGTCGTGGTGGCAACGTAAGCAAGCCTGAAGCTGCACAGAGCCATCCTGAAATGCCCAGGAGCCTCCCAGAGAAATGGGGGCTGAGGGCTGACCCCTGCCCTCTGGAACAGGCGTGGGATCAGGGTGTCCCATGAAGCCCTGTGGTGGGGTCTCGGGCCCAGAGGGAGCAGTTGCAGGTGAGAAGTAGCTCCTGGAGAGCTCAGTGAGAGGAATGGTTGCTTTTTCCTGCTGCTTCTCCTGAAGGTGACTCTGGCAGGGTGTTTCTTTAATCCTGACTCCAGGGCTTTGCCTTGCAGTGAGCAAGCAGTCACTCTTCCCGTTCCTTCTTTCCCATAGGCTGTGTTCCCCTGGACCCCCAGCTCAGCCAGAGCTTGGAGGAAGGCAGAGACTTCATCCAAGAGTTTCCCAAGAGCTCTGCCTTCCCTGCCTTGACTCGCATCGCCCAGCAGATCTTGGATGGTACGTCGCAGCGGAGCTCCTGAGGAGGACGTGGAGCTGGACTCCTGCCGGCAGAGCCTTTTCCCTGGCAGCACCACCGTGCCAGTGGGGAAGGGGGATGCAAAACCAGTTTAGCTACAAAACTGTCTCAGTGGGGGAGTTTTGGAGAGACATACAGTGTCTCGTGTGCTGCAGTGCTTCTGGTGGTCACCCAATCCAGCTACAGCAGCAAACGCCATCGTCTCCTTCCCTCACTCAACCCAAACGGCGGCCATCACCCGGATCGTGGCTCCGTGTGCTGCTGCCTTCTTGTACGGCTTTTCCTGCGCGACGGATCACACGGTACTTGGTTCGGTGGCTGGTGAGTTCGTGCTGGATGGCCCTGATGTGGTCCCAAGCCAGGGCACCTTGCTCTGGCATCTCGGATCACCGGTTCCCGATGGGCACATGCGATGTGCTTCGCGTGAGAAAGTGTCTTCAGGAGATCTGCCACCCGTCTGAGGTCTGCATCCCGCTGGGCTGGAAACAAGGTGGTCTTGGTCTGCTGGGGCTTATCGTGACTCAGGAATATTTTTGAAGGTTCCAGGCAGTAAACACTCTTCTTAAAATCCGGCTCTGTGACTCATGTTTTTCCATGGATTCAGGCCTCGTTGTAGCTGTGAGTCTTCGTATTACGAGTGCTTCATGTATCTCTAGATGTTTCCTGCCTTTCCCCAGTTTCCTTGCTGGGCTTCAGCTAAATCTTTCTTCTTCCATCCCAGCTTCAAGATCCAGCCAGTGTCTTGTCTTGCTGGAAGCTGGCCCTGGCACTCCTTTGTGAGGTGCCTTGCTGTGGCTGTTCTCCACACTCTGCCACCCGTGGGGCTCTCCCGTGTCCCCGGGTGGTTCTGCCTCGTTGCTTCGAGTGTCCTGCTCCCTTGAACCTCCTTCTGTGGCCCCATGGAAGGGCTGCTGCTCCCATGGGACCTGCCCTCTCACGGGCTTCAGTTAAGCTGGGGGAGCAACCGAAGGTAGTGTCCTTGCATCTTATCTCTCTCCCTCCTGGACTCTGAGCCCCTGCTGCCCGCGTGCCCTCTCCGCACTCAGGACTTGCTCTTGCGGTGCCGTTTTGGGGAGGCAGGGGGAAATCTCGGATTTCTACTAACCAAACTGGAATATAGCTGGCAAACATCACTTCGAGGAGAGCAGGAGGAGCATCTGTCCCTGCCCGCCACTGCGCCCGCAACGAGGACTCACACCTGACCAGGTTTCCCTGTGGGCAACTTTCCCGGAAAATCTTGTCTGACCTTTGGTCATTTATCTGGGATTTGGAGAGCCGGGCAGCAGGGCCGGAGTCTGACCAGGCTGTTGGCTTCGGCTGGGTGGCCGGACACCTCTCGCTCCCTCCCTGGGCATGTGCCACCCGCCTGGGGCTTGCAAAAAAAAAAACTTGCTGCAAACTCCTGCAGCCCACACTCCTCGCCCTCTGTCCGGAAGCCCCAAGGGGCTCCGATAAGAAACCCCAGCCGGGTGCGGCACATGCTTTGGAAAAAACATACTTACAAGATGGGTTGCGATAGCTCCAAAGGTTTATTTGCCTGCTGCCATTTATCAGGTGAGTGACGTGTGTGGCTTTTTGCACCCTGCCTACACCTGCTAGCGCGAGGAACGGTTAAAGCGCGTCGTCTGCCCCCTTCCCTAAACCTGCCGGGGGGCTCGGGGGGCTCTTAGCCCTTCTTGGCTGTTCCGTGGCAGGAAGATGCTTTGCTTTGTCCCACTGATGAGTCCTGGCCCCGGCAGAGATGGAGCTCTCCGTGGGGAGAGCTCCGGGCTTGGGGTGGAGCTTTCCCCCATCCCAGAGGCTTGGAGATGCTCGTGTTCCTGACAGGAGCTGGGAGCGACCATGTTAATCCAGGAGCTGCTATTTAAATATTTAAGGGCTGAAATACTTCAGTTTGGAGCCAGCAAAGCCCATCTGGGGAGCTGGTGCCCATCTCCCCCTGCCAACGGCCGGGGTCGTGATCCAGCATCATGTGGGCACGGCTCGCTGCCCCGGGGAGGTGGCAGCGGCAAAGCTGGGCTAAACCGGGGGGGCTGCGGAGCCGGAGCTCCTGCTGCTGCCCCAGGGAGCCCAGCATGGGGCTGGGGAGGAGGCAGGTGAGGGTCCATGGTGCATCCCCCCTGCCCCAGGAAGGGCTGGTGGGCATCAGCAGTGAGCAAAGCTGTCCTCGGTGGTGTCGCGGAGGTCCAGGCCTGCCATGGCTGGGGGGGGGAGGCAGGTGAGGTTGTTGTAGGTGTAGACGGGGACGTGGGCATCGTCCCCCTCGGCCATGGACTGCACGAAGCGCGGGACCACCACGGGGTGCTGCAGGGAGAAGTCCCGCAGGCCCTTCAGGGAGCAGTTGCAGTGCCAGTTGTTGCCCCCCAGCCACAGCTGCTCCAGGGCCAAGGAGGGGGGCAGGGAGCCCACTGGGAAGGTTCCTCAGGCTGAGGTACCGCAGGTTGGCCAGCGGGGAGATGATGGTGTTGTCCAGCATCTCCAGCTGGTTATGGGAGAGGTCGAGCCAGAACAGTCTCTGGAGCGGGCTGAAGGTGTCCTGGGAGATCTCCAGGAGCTGGTTGGAGGAAAGGAAGAGGTATTCCAGGTTGCTCAGACCCACGAAGAGCCGAGGCGAGAGGTGGCTCAGCCTGTTGTGCTTCAGGTCGAGCTCCAGGAGCTCATGCAGTTCGCTGAAGCTTTGGTCTTCGATGACGGAGATGGTGTTGTGCTGCAAGAAGAGCCGCCGCAGGCTGGAGAGGCTGGAGAAGGTGTTTGCCCGGATCCTGCCGAGGCAGCTGTGCTCCAAGTGGAGGCTGTGCAGCTTGGTCACCCCCTTGAAGACATAGTCAGGGAGGACCTTGATGCAGTTCGCAGACAAGTGCATCACCGCCACGTTGTACAGCCCCAGGAATGCCCCAACCCTTATGTCTTGTAGCTGGTTGTTGTTGAGGCTGAGGACCTCCAGCTGGCCCAGCCCGTCGAAGGTCCTTTCCGCCAGGCTCCGGATCCTGTTGTGCCCCAGCTGCAGCTCCTCTAGGAACTGGAGGTCTTTGAAAGTCCTGGGCCTCAGGCTGGTGATGGAGTTGGTGGACAAGCGTAGGACGTGGAGGCTCAGGAGGCCCAGAAACGTGTCCTCGAACAGCGAGACGAGCCGGTTGTGGGAGAGATCCAGCCACCGGAGGGACTTCATGCCCATGAAGGCGCGGGGCGCGATGGCGTTGATCTGGTTGTGGTTCAGGTAGAGCTTCTGTAGCTTCTGCAGCTTGACAAAGATGTTGATCTTGATGCCCTTGAGCGCATTCCCACTCAAGTCCAGCTCCTTCAGCTCGGTAAGGCTGCAGAAGAGCTGGTGCTGGAGATAGGGGAGCTTGTTCCCAGCCAGGATCAGCTCCCTCAAGTTGGGCAAGTCATGGAAGACCTTGTCGGGCAGGACCACGAGCGAATTCCAGCCCAGGTTCAGATACCAGAGGTTGGAGAGCCCAGCGAACAGCCCTTCCTCCACCTTGCTGAAGTGGTTGTTGTTGAGGCTGAGGGAGACGAGGTTCTGGG